GAACCGCTCCCGCCCTCTTCTCGCCTGCACTCCCCATTTGGGATGGAGCGTCTCTACGTCTGAGACATTCCTCCCCTTCCCTAACCCTGTCCGTGTGCCTCCGCGAACTCTGACCTCAGCGTTGATGTATAGGTACAGTGGGCATCTGTGGGCCGCTCACGGAGCCGGGCTGTCTGTCCAGACTTTGTAAGTCCATTAACTCCTTTATCCCAATGTCGTCCTGGGGTAGGTAGTGTTATTCACACCTAGGAAAGAGTAAAGGGAGGTGTGGAGCCTTACCTTACTTGCCAGACTTGCCAGGTGGAAATCAAGCGCCCCTGTGAGATTCTAGCTCTTTCTTAAATATTTTTTTAGGTTTTTGCCATAGGGTGCATACACTTATAGAAGAGAGACAGAGACGGAAAGTGAGAAATCACTCTGTCCCCCTGGGGGACAGCCACGCTGCAATCCCTATTGAGATTTTAAGCCCGGACAGCCATGCTGCAATCCCTGTTGAGATTTTAAGCCCCCATCCACAGGTACCTGGCATGACTTTCAAGCCACCAGGTCTGGGACTTGAATGGTGGTGGGCCATGCCAGGCCATGTGGGAGTCTAGCGACTTAACCACCATGCCACCTGGCCCCTCAGGTCCTTACTTTTTTTTTAAAGGATTATTTATTTATTTAATTCCATTTGTTGTTATTATTATTTTTTAATTTGACCAGAGAAAGAGTGAGAGAAAGGGAAGGAGAGAAAGCAAGCCTCCAGGTCCAGGATTCGAACCGTGGTCAGCCATGTGGAATCCAACGCCTTAACCACCATGCCACCTGCTGGCCCCCAGGTCCTTAATTTTTAACCTAGGTGTTAGGGCTGTGTCTAGAGTTTAAGTTCCATCCCTCCTCCCAGGTACTTACTGCCCCATCCCAAGCCCCATTCTCCATTGCCAGCCCCAGTGGTCCCCAGGGTGCTGTTCTTGCCAGACCCCACTTTTGAAGTTCAAACACTGTCAATACCACGTGTCTGTGTAGTGGCATCTGCATGTACAATTGAGCTTGTGCAAATGTGTAACTGGAGATATCACAGGGTGATGGCAGGGGCAGGCCACGGCATTCTCATGGCTACTGGTTCCTGAGGATGGCGATATGACAGATGACAAATGTCTGTGATGTCTGACTAATCATGATGGAGATGGATAGGAAATGTGTGTTGTTGACATGTGTTAGGTGATATGATCTTGACCCTGGCCTGTCAACTCAATCAAGTGACATAATTGAGTTGGTCCATGTCTGATGTGAGTGATGGCTAGATGTGTGTATCACATGACTGCCATGTGTGGAGGTGGCACAGGTCAGTGGCACAGGACTAGTGGACATTATGGAGGGTTTGTTTGTTTGTTTGTTTGTTTTGGAGAGGTTTTTGCTATAGGGTGCGTGCGCTTGCCAGAAAGACAGGGAGACAGAAATCACCCCCTGGGGGGATGGTCACACCACAATCCCTGCTCCTCCTTTTTCCTCAGGATCTTGAGCGCACACGCACATGTGCCTGGCATGAGTTTAAGCCGCCGGGTCTGGGACTCAAACCACAGTTGATTACATGGGAGTCCAGCGACATAGCCATTACGTCATCTGCTGGTCCCCATCATGGAGGTTTTACAGGCTTGACAGCTAAGTACCTTCCCCCTTCTCCATCATGCCCTTGTCTGCCTGTAGCTCTATTCAAGTGGTCAGAGCAAGAGCTTGCATCCGGCTCCCCTAGCCCTGCGAGGATCTCTCTCCCCAGAGGTTGGGTTGCCCTGCACCCCCAAGATTACCTGGACCAGTGGGCAGGCAGAACTGAGCCTTTGGCCCCGCCTTGGTCCCTCACAGGGTAACTAGAGGGATCTGGAGCCACATTGGCTGAATCCTGCCAGATTCTTCCAGGTTAGGCCAGCTCCTCCCACTACCCCTCTTTCTTCTCCTCCTTTTCTGCCAGACCTTGGCTGTGGCTGCAGGATGGGGGATACCTTGAGTCCCGGTGAGTGATTCTGATCCTTCTTGGTGGGGACTGCAAAAGGTCAGAGGGCACAAAAACAGTCAGCTTCAGGTCCATCTCCTGGGGCCCTCCAGCTCAAATCCATACCTCTGCTCTGAGAGCATAAACAGGCCTCCTTGCTCTTCCCACCCCAGCCTGTGGACAGGGACGGGGAAGTCCTGGAGAGTATACCAGGTAGATGCCTGTGCACAGGGCTCCCCACCTGCTGCTGGTATGCTCGTTGTTGTGGGTGGGAACACACGTGTGTGTACCTTACGGGCAGCCCCCAAGCCATGGTCAAGTTTACAGGGTCTTAGGTGGCATATGAGCTGCTTTAGCCTGGCAGGCGTGCCCAGACCTGCTGTGGAATTTTTGGAATAGCTGAGGCCTAATGGGCACCCTGAAGTCAAAGGCAGTACGACATCTAGTCACTGCTTGGACCTTACGCACACACATACACACACACAAACACACACTCGAGCTGCCCCTAAACACAGAGAGGGTAAGCAGATTTCCCTGGGTCACATGGGAAAGGCCTGGAACCCAAGCCAGGCTGTCAGCCGTCTGAACTGTTAGAGGCCTGGGTATGCATAACCTGACCAAATAACATATCCAGAAATTCCTCTCTACGTTGAAGGTTGTGCTGCATTCTGGGGTACACCCTGGGGCAGGGAACCTGGTGCTCAGACCCCACCTGGCTCTGGCGGGCCCTGGGACCCAGGTCTGGTCCTTCCCAGTGGGTGACCTTGCCTCTCAACCTCTGACCCTTACTTTCCTTGATAAGAAAGAGGGCAAATGACTGGAATGTTGCCTTGAGGTCTAGAAGCAGATCTTGGAAAAGTTCTGAGGCATCCTGGAGTGATGGCTGAAGGGATGAGAGATCCAGTGGGTCTTAGGGGATCACCCACTAGCATTTTGCGGGGTGGGGAGGGTGACTTGTGTGCTCAGCTCTCTATTTTCTAGTTACTAGTACTGTTTCCTCAGAGACAAAGTGGTGGGGCAGGTGGCAGTACATGAGTTGAGGGTTATTATAATTTATTTCCAACCTACTTCTACAAAAGGGTCAGGAAAGAAAGGAAGGAAGGAAGGAAGGAAGGAAGGAAGGAAGAAAGGGGGAAAAAACCCCAGCAACAACAAAAGTGGCTCCCTGGGAACCAGCAGTTAGCGTAATGACTATGTCGCTGGACTCCCACGTAGTCGACCGCGGTTCGTGTCCCGGACCCGGTGGCTTAAAACTCACGCCGGGCGCGTGTGCGTGCGTGCCCAAGATCCCGAGAGGAGAATGGAGGAGAAGAGATTGCGGCGTGACCATCCCCCCTGGGGGGTGATTTCTCGCTTTCTGTCTCTATGTCTCTCTCTGTCTGTCTGGCGAGCGCACGCGCCCTACAGTGAAAATCTCTCAAAAAAAAAGTGCCTCCCTAACGGACTGTTATTGTCAAGAAGATTAAACCCATGCCAAGAAAGGGGCAAGGACTCTGAGATGAGACAGATGGTGACTGTATCAAAGGAGTAAATTTAGCTTGGAGAGTCCTGGCAGCCAAGGTAGAAAGGGAGTAGGATAATCTGTAGAGCTGCCATTTTCGAACAAAATGAAGCATCTGATTTATTCAGGGGAGACACTTTTTTTCCCCCCACAAAATCCAAAATCATTTGTCAGAGGCTTCTCACTGAAGGGCCACCAATGTGATGGAGTGTTCTGGGTTTTTATATTTTTCTTGGAACTCCTTATCCTGATCCTGAGCAAGCACCGAGGGCACAGCAAATGTCATCAGGGCATGTGAGGAGCTATGCAACCCCACCAGGCTTTAACCTGACTCGGTGGGCTGACTTAACCTTCGGCTGCCGTTGTCCACTGTGCTGTGGACGTTGACCGACATACAGTCAACAGACGGACTGAGCTAGCCCAGGTTGCTGGGAGAGGCAGATGTGCTGCCTTCACATGCTATGGCAAGGAGAGGTGACTTCCCCCCGGGAAATTGTCAAGGGCACACTTTACCTGTCAGTCTTCTTAGGTGATAAAGAATACAGGGGCCGGCAGGTGGCTCAGTGGTTAAGGGCACTGGACTCCCACATGGCCGACAGTGGTTCGAGTCCTGGACCTGGCGGCTTGCCTTCTCACTTTGTCTCTCTCTCTCTGTCCCTCTTTGTTCAAATAAAAATAAGTAAGTAAATAAAGTAAATTAATTTTTACCAAAAAAAAAAAAAAAAAAAAAGAATCCACAGGGCAGCGCCTGCTAAGAGGTTGTTGGCCTGAGAAAGTAAGTTACATACATCCCCATGCTGATAGCAGGAGGATGTATCAGATGGAGGAGGATGCATCATCAGTCAGCACTCTTGGCTACAAATGAGAAATTAATGGTGGCCTATTTAAACAGAAAAGGTTGGTGGGCATAGTCCTGGTTAGGTTGGTGATGACAATTCTGTTGTCACTTCCATCACCACACATCATGCCAACCCTTTTACTCTTAAAATTGCTTACTGCTAGGACCAGCAGTTGGTGTAATGGCTATGTTGCTGGACTCCCATGTAGTCAATGGCAGTTCAAGTACCAGACCCGGTGGCTTAAACTCATGCCGGGCGTGTGTGCGTGCGCGCCCAAGATCCTGAGAGAAGAATGGAGGAGAAGGGATTGTAGCGGTGGCCATCCCCCTGGGGGTATGATTTCTCACTTTCTGTCTCTCTGTCTCTCTCTGTCTTTCTGACAAGTGCATGTGCCCTGTAGCAAAAACCACTCCAAAAGAGAGCGAGAGAGAGAGAGAAAATTGCTTACTGCTGTCATCCAACCCCAAGGTAGCTTCTTTGAACCAAGAAGTTTGCTGTGAGGCCTTGAGCCAGTGTGCAGCTGCCAGGCTGTCTGGAGGGTTAAAAAGACTTAGCATCTAGAAAAGGAGTGTTTGGCGCCTTCCAGCTGCTTGGTGGAAAGCTGGGACTGACACCCAGACTCACAAGGCACAAAAGAAGGAAAAAAGGGAAGAGTGGATGATAGGAGGGCAGGAAAAGCAGTCAACTTTCAGGAGTTGATACAGGCTTATAAAAAAGGAGCATCTGGGGGTTGACAGGTGGTGTGGTGGTTGGTGCGTTGGACTCCCACATGGCTGACCAGGGTTGGAGTCCCAGACCTGGCAGCTTGCTTTCTCACTTTACCTGGTCAAAATTAAAATAAGAATAATATGGGGCCAGGGGACAGGTGGTGTGGTTTGGTTAAGGCATTGAACACCCATATGGCCAACTGCTGTTTCGCTCCTGGACTTGGTGACTTATTCATTTTGTCTCTCTGTGGTGAGCATGCCTGCTTTGAATAAAATAATAATAGATAATTCTCTTTAACTTCATTTATTTACTTATTTAAATTTGACCAGAGAGGGAGAGAGAGAGAGAGGAAGAGAGAGAGAGAAAGCAACCCGCCAGGTCTGGGAATTGAAGCATCTTCAGCCATGTGGAGTCCAGCACCCTTAACCTACATACCACCTGCCAGCCCCAGGAGAGGATTTTGCTATAGGGCACATGCACTCACCAGAAAGACAGAGAGAGATAGAGAGACAAAGTAAGAAATCACCCCCCAGGGGGGATGGCCATGCCGCAATCCCTTCTCCTCCATTCTCCTCTCAGGATCTTGGACATGCACGCACACACGCCCAGTGTGAGTTTAAGCCAACGGGTCTGGGACTCAAACCACAGTTGACTATGTGGGAGTCCAGCGACGTAGCCATTAGGCCATCTGCTGGTCCTCAAATAAATAATTTTTACAAAATAATAATAAATAAAAATAAGTAAATAATGTCTTTAAAAAATAAAAAAGGAGGGGACCAGCAGGTGACATGGTGGTTGAGGTGCTGGACTCCCACATGGCCAACTGTGGTTTGAGTCCTGGACCTGGTGGTTTGCTTTCTTACTTTTTCTCTCTCTCTCACTCTGGGCCTTTCTGGTCAAAATTTAAAATAAGTAAAGTTAAATAAAACAATTCTTTTAAAAGAAAAAAAAAGAGTGTCTGGCTCCTCTTTCTGAGGAGTTTGCTTGGAGCTGAAGCATAGGCTCACCAGCCTGGGAGGCTGGGTGGGTGGAGACTGGGGTCTGCCTTGCCCCTGG